TTTTTTTTTTTTTTTAGCAGGAGTCTCAAAAAAAAGAGCCCAGGCTGGAGCACAGTGGCATACTCATGGCCACCATAGCCTCGACCTGCTGGACTTAGGCAATCCTTCCACTTCAACCTTCCAAGTAGCTGGAACCACAGGCACATGCCACCAAGTAGCTGGAACTACAGACATGTACCACTATGCCTGGATAATTTTTTTATTTATTGTAGAGACAAGGTCTCACCAAGTTGCCCAGGCTGGTCTTGAACCCCTTGACTCAGGCAATAATCCCGTCTCCACCTCCCAAAGTGCTGGGATTACAGGTGAGAGCCACTGTGCCCAGCTAAAAATTTAGATTTTGATTTAAATATTTCAGAGTGCAACTCATCATCTGTATTTTTAAATTGTCCCCAGGGAAATCTAATCTGCAGAGAGAACAGAAAAAACACAGATCTAAATGCATTAGAGAAATGTATATGTAAATAAAATTTCATTTTACAGATCAGAAATTATTTGAGCAGATAACCAAATTACTCATTCATATATAGTGTAAGTATGGGGGAGTTTTAGATATTGCTTTTCCTTGAAAATAATCTTGTTGGCCGGGCTCGATGGCTCAGCCTGTAATCCCAGAAGTTTGGGAGGCTGAGGTGAGTGGATTGCCTGAGCCCACAGGTTCGAGACCAGCCGGGGAACGTGGCAAGACCCTGTCTCTAAAAAAAAAAAGAAAAAAAATAATCTTGTTTTACTTAATCCATTAAAATGTAAATAAGTTCAGGTGCGGTGGCTCACACCTGTAAACTCAACCCTTTGGGAGGCCAAGGTAGGAGGACTGCTTGAGCCCAAGAGTTTGAGACCAGCCTGGGCAACATAGCAATACCTCATTTCTACAACAACAACAAAAAATTAATGAGCTGGCATGGTGGCGGGTGCCTATAGTCCCATCTGCTCAGGAGCCAGAAGAATACCCTGAGCCCAGGAGTTCAAGGCTGCGATGAGCCATGATTGTGTCACTGTACTCCAGCCTGGGTGACAGTGAGACTGGATTAAAAAAAAAAAAAAGGAAATGAACACATAGCACCTGCAAAGTATGAGAATTTCTTCCTTTTAATGTTTTATTTTGCCTTTGTTTTGTCTGTTAGTTGTGCCCACATCATGGTACAGAAAAATAAATGAAATAAAAGTAAAGATCATTCCTACTTATATTTATACCTCATTTTATACTCCGCAAAGTGTCTTCTCATCTGCACCACCCCAAACTCACAGCAGCTCTGGGAGGAAGGTAGAGCCAGAATGATCATCTCCATTCTGTGCATGGGTAATGGGATGCCCTGTTGCAACAAGTGGTTTTTCTGGGGTCCCAGAGTTGGTTGTTAGAGGCACTGGTAAAGGAACCTGTGACTCCGGTCTCTCTCTGCCTCCTGCCACCTTTCAGTTGTCTCGCTCTTTCTCTGTTTTTCTCTTTCTACTTCAACTTTCCTTTCCTTGCTCCAACCCTCCAACTGAAGTCAACTTTACAAGTTGTCCAAACTTTTCCTCACTCTGGAAACCTGCCAGCTCCATGGCCACAGCCCCATCTCACCATGAGCTCAGCATCTTTGCCTAGAGCAAGCCCTTTCCAGATGCCAGGGTGCAGAGATTAACTCTAGCCTTTCCATCTGACCCCAGATAAGATAAGGATGGGGATCCGCACTATAAACATGCCCCCATCCTTCCCCTGGCCCAGGCCCTCGCCAACTCAGGACACACCATCCCAGGATCAGCATGGCCGTCCACCAGTGGGTAGTTGTCCTGACCTTGGCTGCCCTCCTCATTGTGGATAGGGGTGAGTGGGCAGAACCTGGATCCTCTATGGCTTCCTCTATGGCTTGGTGTTAGTAGGTGACTTGGGAGCGGCAGAGGTGGAGTCTGGAGCATTCTGTGAGGTCTCAGTTTTCTACATGTACACACTCCACTGTGGTGGGGAAAGCCCTGGCTGGGAGAAATGGGTTCAGATCCTGACTCACACCCAGAGCTGCCGAAGTACCCATCCCTCTTAGGGCCTCAGTTTCTCCAACTGTAAAGTAGGAGACTGTTCCAGTTTAAAGCTGCACTGAACAACTACTGGGCTGGAGATTGGGATGGGGGTGTGGCCGAAGGGAGCAGATGGGCATCAGCTCTCAGGGGAGACAGACAAGTATGCCAGCTTCAGGGTTGTGGGCGCTAAGACAGACCTGGCCCAGATTCTCTGAGCTCCCATTCTGCTCTGAAACTGTGGTTTGGGACTGGAGGCAGCCATGAGAGCATGTGGGAGCCTCTTCCTGGGGCTGGACATATACACCTGGGGCGGGTCCTCCTCAAGGTATGGGGCACCTCTGCTGCCTCACAGTTACTGTCTCTGGGTCTGTTCTGAGCCCTTAAGACACATCAGTGACCACAACAGAAAAAGCCCTGTCTTGATGGAGCTAAAATTCAGTGGCGCAAGGGAGAAGGGAAACGGCAAGAAACGAGATAGTACAGTGTGTTAAACAGTATGTTAGAAGGTGATAAAGGCTAAGGAAAAAGAACCAGGTGGAGTGACGGGGATTGGAAGGGGATTGTGATTTCAAATAAAGGAGTTCTCTCTAAAGCATGATATTAAGGGAGATAAGGGCATAAACCATGTGGGTATTTGGGAGAAAAGGGTTCCAGGCAGAGGGAGTAGCTGGTGCAAAGACCCTGGGGTCGGGGCATACTTGGAGTACTTTAGGTATTGCAGGGAGGCCAGTGTAGCTGGAGGGGACATGGGGCAGAGTGATGGAGAGGAGATGAGACAGGAAACTGGAAACTACACCGGGTAAGTTCTTGTTGGCCAGTATGAGAACTTGGCTTTTCCTCTGAGCAAAATGGGAGGCACTGAAGGGTTCTGAGCAGAGAGATGCATCTTTAAAGGATTGCTCTGGCTATGTTAAGAATAAACTGAATGGGGAAGCAGGGACACCAGCTAGGATACATCTGGACAAAAGTCAAAATGTTATAAGACAATGCCTGGCAGAACCCAGGGCCACTGATCTCATGGCCAGTCCCATACCTGTTTCCTCTGCTGGAAACAGACCTGGGGGCTGGGCAATAGAGGTCTCTGGTCAGGAACAGCCTGCTTACTTCTTACCTGGCGCCCCTTCCCTGAGCAGTTCTTTGGTTAGGAACAATAAGCAGCCTGCCCTGAAGAAGGCCCTTTTGCACATTTCAGATTCCTGCCTGGGCTGAGTGAGGATGGGGAATTTTGGTTCAAGGGCAAGGGCAACCTGGGCTAAAGGCAACTTACTCCCACATTCCCCAGGCAGAAGTTCTAACACCATAGGGTTCTGAACTCTCCCCTTGCACACTTTAGTGGTCAGTTTCTGAACACTCACCGTGGGGGGTGTTGAACAGGGTCCTGCATAGGGGCAGAGATTAAGGAAACCCAAGGAGTTCAGGTTCGTAGGAAGACAGGGGTGGCACAGTGAGTGGGACAGCGCATGGTGGGGTGAAAAAAGCCTAAATCCAGGTCTGCTCAGGACACCATGGGGGCCATCATGGAAGACTTCACTGGGAGGCAGCATCCAGCCTGGGGAAGAGGGTATCATTCAACAGTAGAACGGGGGTGAGGACATTTTCAGGAAGAGGACACTGCAAGAGCCAAAGCAGAGCCTGTTCCAGGAACAGTGAGCAGAGGGGAATGGCTGGGGCATGGGGAAATGAAGAGATGTACTGGAAAGTACGCCCAGGGAGCAAGTTGGGGTCAGCTTATGCATTGCCCTAAACTTAACAGTAAGGATCACAGGTCCATAGGGAGGTTTCAGGATCATGACAGGAATCCAGGGAAGAGCTTTAAGGTTGTTTTGTTTTGTTTTTTGAGTCAGAGTCTCATTCTGTTGCCCAGGCTGGAGTGCAGTGGCACGCTTACAGCCACCCCAGCCAATGTTGGGTGGGCTCTGGCGATCCTTCTGTCTCAGACTTCCAAGTAGCTGGAACTACAGGTGCGTGCAACCATGCCTGGCTAATTTTTTGATATACTGTAGAGACGAGATCTCACCAAGTTGCCCAGTCTAGTCTTGAACCCCTGGGCTCAAGCAATCCCCTCGCCTCAGTCTCCCAAAGTACAGGGATTAAAGTTTTACATTTTTAAATGTTTTTCTTTCCTCTAGTAGTTACATAATCATGAAATGCAAAAATCTTATTATTCAATGAGTTTTGACAATGCATACACCTGCATGACCCAAGCCTCCATCAAGATACAGAATATCTTGATACAAGGACTTAAGAAACAAAAAAGAAGGGAAGGAGGGAGGAGGGATAAGGGGCATACAATCACCCACTGGGTGTCAGCTCCACTGCCAGGGGGAGAGAGGGCTTGCTAGAAGCCCAAACCTCACCTGTCTGCAATTTACTTATGTAGTAAGTAATGTACCCCACAACTCTAAAAAAAAAAAAAAAAGATAAAAAACGATACGGAACATTTTTGAAACCCCAGAAATTTCCTTCATGCCAGTCAATTCCTAATTCCCACCCTCAACCTACCCCTGAATGGTTATCAGTCAGAGCAGGTAGCTATAGAGCAGAGCTACTGCTCGGACTTTACCAAAGATTAATTGACCTGTTCTAGAATTTCCCATAAATGGAATCATAGGGTATGTGTATTTTTGTGTCTGTTTCTTTTGCTCAGCACCATATTTCTGAGATTCAGCCATGTTTTTGCCTGTGTCAGTTACTTGTTTTTCTTGCTAAGTAATTCCCTGTTGTATTTATTTACCCATTCTCCTGTTGAAGGACATTTGGGTCACTTTCCATCTTGGCACTTATGACATGGAAAGGTTTTAAGCAGTGCAGTGACAAGTCAAGATTTGCATTTTGATGCGCCAATGCCAGGCTTAAGCAGCACATCAGAGGTGACTTAGTCCCAGTTCCTATCTCCCTCTCTGCCTTGGAAACCTCTTGTACTAGCATCTCCAGGCAAAGGTCAACCACACTGCCTTGTGCACCTCCAGTGATGGAGAATTCTCTACTTCTGGAAATGACCTCCTTCAATGTGGCATAGCTCCCGCTGAGAGAAAAATCTGCTGCAGGTGGAATCCAAACCTGCCTCCCTGCAGGCCCCTCACACAGATGTGCTCTGCCCTGTGAGGTTGACAAGAGTCTATCTCCCCCTCAGTCCCAGGACGGCCCCGAAGAGACTTCAGGAAGTATCCTGTACTTCTCTAATTTACACAGACAACCTTTCTTCCACCTGTGCTGTCAGGTGTGGTTCCAGTTCCCTCATCCACCCAACTTGCTCACCAGTCACATCCCAGTTTGCTCATGTCCTATGAGCAGTTCAGTCAGACCTCGTGGGGCACGACGGTGTGTGCAGAAATGATCAGGCTCTGGAATGTATTATAACAGACCCATGGGCACATCCTAACTCTGCCTTAACAAATGGCATCGCTGCCCCTCTCTGAGCCTCTTTCAAGGGTTGGCTAAATGTCCCAGGAAACAGACTCCAAGATCTGCGTGCAGCTTACTGGGGAGTATTCATGGGCATAACACTCAAAAGGGATGAGAGAAACCAACTGTGACGCAGTGCAACAGGCCCTTCAGATGACCCTACAGGGAGCTTTGGAGCTAGGGTGGCCCTTCAGCCTTGTTCCAAATTGAGACAAGGGGATCAGGGCCTTTGTACTCACATCGACCCGTCATGGCATATGGGCTGTTCCAGGGTGGGAAATGCAACCTGGACAAGGTAGCTCCATTCTCTGAGGTCATTCCAGGAAGAGACTTGCTGTGGGCGGTCAATACTCCTGGTAGCTGGGAAATGAATGCTGCAGTCCCGCAGATGGGCCCAGAGAGGTCGATCACAGCGTTCACTGCTGTCTCCTTTCTTCCTTGCTACACAGCAGTAAGAGAAGTATGAAGAGTAGATACACTCATGTGTTCTCCATGGCTGGCACATGACTGCTAAATTGTTATTCTTATAGTTATTACATGGGATCTAACGAATGAGGAATAGGTTGGACTGTCATCTCCCAAATTTTTTACTTTCTCTGTTCATGTAACCCAAGATCAGATCAGCTTTCTGGCAGTCTCATGGTCTGGTGACTCACTACCTTTTCTTGAGGAAGTCCTGATTGGGCAGCTGCTGGGCCAAGTCCCCTGAAGAGGAAAAAGCAGTCCTCAGACCCCTAGACCTGGGCTTGGAGCTGATATCATCTAATTCTTGCTTTTTTTGTTTTGTCTTTCAGAAGTACCAGTGTCAGCAGCAAAGCTCATTTTCTCAAGAATGGTAAGACACCTGTTTGCTGTTCTGGTCTTCCCTTGGCTGAGAGGAGTCCTCTCAATCATGCTGAGAAACCAGCATTATTCTTCTCCACACGCCTGCTCGGACACCTTCAATGATTCCAAGGGGGCCATGGTGGCCTCCTGAGCCTACACGTTTCCCAGATTAGCCCTTCCAGGCTGAGTAGGCCTGGCTCCCTCACCAACGTTCTGAACTTGGCCTCAAAGCCCTCGGGATCTCCCCCAACCTGATCTTCAAGGCCCCTTCCGTTGGTGAGATCTCCCCTTCCAGGCTCAGCAGGACACAGTGTGCTCTCTGCTTTGTGTAGTGTAGACAGGCCACAGGGTCCAGGCCAAAGAGGTGACACTGGCTCACTGAATGGACCTGTGGAGGGTACCTCCCCCAACCACACTCCATCATTAAACCCTTCACTCTGAGTGCACAAACACCAAGTTGTCCCTGAGCCCTGATTCTACCTTGGCCCTAGGTCTGAGGCCAAAGTGATTCCAAGGCAGTGGTGTTGGCAACCTTGAGACCCCCCAAGACCACCCTTTCATATATGTGGATTGTGAGGCTCAAGCCAGCTTCCCATCAAGCAGCCTCAGCATCTTCTCTGTCAGTCCATCAGAACTCAGCCCTACTTGTACTCACTGCCAGATAAAGAGCCACATACTTTACATACATTATTTCAATTAACCCTATGTGAGGAACACTATTATTATTGACAGTTTTTACAGATGAGGAAACTGAGGCTCAGAGAGCAGAAATATCTAAGGTTATACAGCTAATCCATGACAGAACTCAGGTCTCTGAGGCTTGGGCCTTCCCTGCTGCCCCCACACCGCCTCCTTCACCCTATCCCTGTCTCAGGCTCTAAACCCACTCCTGACCTAGTTCTGACCTTGACTTCAGGCCCTTTCAGACTGAGCCTCAATTAAGCCCCAAGTCCTGCCCCATTTCTCCAGCCTTCCCACCCTGTGAGGCCTTCTTGCCAAGGGTCTGACAGATCATGCAGGCCCGGGTGAGTTCAGGATTCCCCGGGGGAGAGAGGGGCCTCCTGGGAATGATGGGTCATTCTGTATGAGGGCACCTTCCATTAGACCAGCAGTAGAGGTTCAAGTTAGACCCTCGGAGTAGTGTGTGAACTTGAAGGCACCCAGGCTCAGCAGACACAGGCACATGCACACACATGAGTAAACACACCAAGGGACCCTAAGTGGTTGGTTTCACGTTCTCTGGCCCCACACTGGGGTCTTCTGGAATCTGGCTCCTCCCAGAGGTCCTTCTGGCTCCAAGCAGAACCCCTAGGACTCTCCCCACTGCCTTCAAGTCCCCTCCCTCCTTTCTTCTCTTCCACAGCCCATCTGTGAGCACATGACAGAGTCTCCAGCTTGTCCTCAGACACCCAACCCGGTCTGCGGCACTGATGGGGTCACATACAAGAATGAATGCCACATCTGCTTGGCCCGGATGTAAGTCCATCCCAGTCTCCACCCCTGTCTCTTCAGGATTAGGATGGACAGGATCAGTGTGTGACAGGATGTGAAGGGTGAGAGGAAAGGGGAGGCAACATGCTGGTTTTTAACTTGTGGGTTTGGGTGGCTGGTGTTGCCAAGATGGGTGGATTGGAGAGGGTATAGCAGTCTGGGGGAGCAATGATGTTTGTGGAGAGTTGAGCTTCTGAGACATCTCAGCAGAGGTGTGCAGTGGGCAACTGCATAAACAGGCAGAACAGAGGTCCGGGCTAGGGACACATTTGGCAGCCATCATCTGGTGGTTGAAACCCCAGGAAGCTGAAATCTCCCAGGGAGAGGGTGTGCAAGAGGGAAAAGCTATGGGAGGAGCGGCCCTGCAACTATACATGAGGGGAGGCTGGTGGGGGGAGACTCAGCATGGTGTCTAGATGAACGGGAACAGGTCCCTGAAGGGTACATTACAGTTCCTGAGGAGGTGGCCTCATCCCTGTCGCTGTGGTCCTAGGAAAACGAAACAGGACATCCAGATCCTGAAGGACGGCAAATGCTGACCCCACAGGAGCACCTCAAGCCATGAAGTTTCAGGCTGGAGAACAGTGGTGGGCAAGATGTAATATGAAATAAAAGGTCCAGCCCCACCCAGCAAGTGGGCCAGTGTCTCTGGACACTGTGGGGAGGTGGTTCTGGAGGGGGCAGATCTCACACTGTCCTCCCTAACCTGAATATCATGTCCAGCCCTTCTCCATGCCTCTGGTGCTCCTCAACCCTGTCACATGTGCGGACAAGGGGCCCAGTTATCTTCTGCCTGCTTCAGAGGCCAGCCTCTGACCCCACTATGCTACCCAGTGCTCTTGTCTGCCCCAGCCTGGACAGTCACGCAGGCCAAGAACCTAGGTGAGATCTATATCCTCTGATACTGTCAGGGTACAAGACCCAGCCTTTGTAAGGGTCATCCACACCCTCATGGCTCTCTCCTGGGTTGTACTGTGTGTGCACGCATACACGTGACAATGCTGATATTCAGGCAATGGTCACAGTACAGCCGAACCGCTTCGTACTTACTGAGCTGAAAAAACAGGTGATGCTCCAAGCCCTTTGAGTGCTCCCCTGCACCCTGGTCACCCAGATAATCCTCTAGGGTTACTTCTTGGCACAGTAGGATGACTTCCAGACCCTGCTCTGCTCTTTTGGTCATCATCCGCTCCGATTGGTTGTTAAATATTTTGACATTAGTCACAGCTCCAGGCATACACTGCACACACACACTCACACAATGGCCCACAGGGATGCAGCATTCAGAAATCCTACCAAAGAGAGAGACTCCAGCCTGTAGCATATGCCAAATACCACCCATCCCCCCTTTTTTTGAGTTGGAGTCTCTCTCTGTTGTCCAGACTGGAAGGCAGTGGCATGCTCACAGCCACCGCAGCCTGGACTTGCTGGGCTCAGGTGATCCTTCTGCCTCAGCCTTCCAAGTAGCTGGAACTACAGGCATGTGCCACCACACCCAGCTAACTTTTGATTTATTGTAGAGCTGAGGTCTCACCAAGTTGCCCAGGCTGGTCTCGAACCCATGGGTTCAGGCAATACTCTCACCTCGGCCTCCCCAAATGCCGGGATTATAGGCATGAGCCACTGCACCCGGCATACCCCCTTTCATTCAAAGCTTATGGGAGACTCTGAATAATGGTGGCAGGAGAGAGGAGTGGAGAGGGCTACTCAGGTGGGAGTAGTTTCACACAGACTCAGATTCCTGCTCCAGGGTGAGTAGAAAAGACAGGAAATGCTCCATGAGAAAATACCCATCTGAGAGAAAAGTGAGGGCAGGGACAGTGGGAACCTACACTCCCTGGACCTCTGAAAGGGAAATATTGGGCAGGAATCATTGCTGATGGATTGACAGGTGGCAGGGACAGGAAAGTCATTTATAGGGCCTTCTATGTTTATGAACAATTCATAAACTTGTTTCCAGCCTGCATATGAATGATGTAGGATTAAGTTTGGTTGTGAGACAGAGAACTCAAAATAAGAGGCTTCAACAGATATAAGTTAATTTCTCTTACACATAGAGTGATGTAGTATGGCAACTCTATGTTCCCTCTATATTGTTACTCTGCTATCCTCATCAGTTTCTACCTCAAGGTGCAAGACAGGTAGCTGCTCCAACTCCAGCCATCACATCTACATGCCAGGCCACAAAGAAAGTAGGGCACACCATTTGTCTTTGAAGACATTTCCCATAAGAGATACATACCTTGTTTATACCTATTGGCTAAAATGTAGTATCTTGGCCACGCTGGAGCAAGAAGACAGAAATATAGTCTTTATCTTGCTATGTCTTAAATTAAAAATTAGTTCTTTTTGCAGTAGTTGGAGAAAGTAGATATTGGTAACATCTGAAAGTCTCTGCCCTAAGTGGGGAGCCTATTTTGCACCTAAGTGCATAGCCCAGCCAAACATCTCAGTGACCCTTCCTTCCCAGGCTTCCATTCAGGATCTGAGGAATCACAGATTAAACCCGAACAAGGTGCTAGTCACTACACTGGGAGAAATAACTAATTCTCCACTTACAAATGTGGAATTTGTGGCCCCATCTTAGGAAGTACCCTGAAACACGTGTTGGTCCCTAAAGGCCCCATCTATGGCATGTGGCCCTGCTGCCTTGGCCACTGCTGGTTGGTTAGAATATTCTTCCCCAGGATCTTTCTTTTTTTGAGTCGGAGTCTTACTGTCACCCAGGCTGGAGTGCAGTGGCATGCTCACAGTCACCGCAGCCTTGACCTGCTGGGTTTAGGCCATCCTTCAGCTTCAGTTTTCCAAGTAGCTGGGACTACAGATGCATGCCACCACGCCCGGCTAATTTTTTGATTTATTGTAGAGACGAGGTCTTGCCAAGTTGCTCCGGCTTGTCTCGAACCCCTGGAGACAGGCAATCCTCTCGACTTCGCCTCCCAAAGTGCTGGGCTTACAGGTGTGAGCCATCGCACCCGGCCCCCAGGAACTTTCAAACTGAAAGTAAGGAAACTCAGGCAGGTCCCGTGTACTGAAGCTATAGGATGTGTGATATGAAGGAATGCCATGCCTCCTGCTTTGTAAAAGCAAGACTGAGAGGACGACAGATATGCAGAGAAAGCAAGAGTAATTCTGGGCAGTGATTGAGTTCCTGCAGATCAGCTGCCCTTGACCTTCCCAAACTTACATGCGATTGATATCCTGCCCATAAATTTTCTATTTCGTCCAATCTTTTTGGAATTAGGCTTCTGGTACTTTTTTTTTTTTTTTTTTTTTTTAGAAGCAGAATTTATTGAGAGGACAGAAAAGCTCCCTCAGTGGGAAGGGGCCCGAAGGGGTTGCCTTGGTACTTTCAGCGATGAGTCCTGACCACTATATGAAGAAGTCTGTTTCGGTACCTTGAGGAATATGTAGAAATCATTGATTAGACAATGAGGGAACCTGGCACAGTAGCCTACATCTGTAATCCTAGCACTTTGGGAGGCTGAGGTAAAAGGACTGCTTGAGCCCTGGAGTTCGAGATCAGCCTGGGCAACACAGTAAGACCTCATCTCTGAAAGGAAAATTAGCCAGCATGGTGGTACACACCTGTAGTTCTAGCTACTCAGGAGGCTGAGGCTGTGGCAAGCTGTGATCATGCCACTACATGGCAGCCTGGGAACAGGAAAAAGAAAAAAAAAAAGAATAGACAATGTGGGAGAACATTTCCAGCTCTGAGGATGAAGGACTAGTTTGTGGGATCAGACATCCCCATTTGTTCCCTCTCAGTGGGACTTATCATGTCTCAAGAAAGTGGGCAACTGAAAAGGGGTGTCCTCTCCCCATTCACGGCAGTGACTCCCCTTGGATGAGCATATCTGAATGGGTGGGTCCTGTGCACACAGGACCCAGTCAACACCTTGCACTTCGGCCCAGCACTTGGGGCCTCTTTTCTCAATACTTAAGTAAGACAATGGCTGTTATAAACTCCAGTGCTGACAGCTTCAGTGGCTGAGCACAGGTGAGGGAATTTCACTACTGATGTGTGCATTCATTCTCCAAATATTTATTGAGTTCCTACTATATACAAGACAATGTGCTTGAAATAATGCTGTTAACAAGACAAAGAAGCTCCTTAACCCAAGGAACTTACAGTCTAGTGCTTAAGGCAAATACTAATCAAATAATCCCACATATAAACCATCACAGAAATGATAAATGCTGAGAAAGAAAAGTTATAGGAAGCTATGAGAGGATCCCACCTAGAGGCCTGATATGGTCTCAGGCAGTAGGTAAAGTTTCTCCCTGGAAGAGACATTTGAGTTAAATTCTATGGGATGAATAGGAGTTACCTACAAAAAGGGCGGGGGTGGAAGGAAGACAAGGAGTTATCTGAGCAGAGGTAGCAGCAAGTGCAAAGACCACAGGGCATGAGAGGGCACAGTGCATCTGAGGAACTGACAGAAGACTGGAGTGGCTGACAGCAGAGAGCAAACAGGAGAGGGGCTCAAGATGAGAAGGTGCAGGGTAAGGACTTTGACCATTATCCTAAGAGAAATGGGGAGCCACTGGAGGTTTCTAAGCAGGGGACTGACATGATAAGAGTTGCACTTTATGATCACTCAGGCTGCTCTTTGGAGAATGAACTGGAGAGGGCCAGAAAGGAAGTGGAGACGCTAACACGGGAGACAAATAGAGGGAGACAATAAGAAAACAAGTGTGTGCCACCCTGTGTTGAAAGAGAGTTAATACAGCAGTGACTGAAAGCACTGGCTCTGAAATCAAACTACCCAGCCTTGTGTCCTGGTTTTGCCAATTACTCTATAACCTAGAGCAAATCATCTGAGTTTTCTCATCTCTGAAACAGGGATAATACCTGTCTGCCTCGTAGGTTGTGTGAGAACTAAATGACTAATATATAGAAAGAACTTAGAACAGTGTCCAGCACATAGTAATTTTTCATTAAATGTGGTGGCCCTAGGCCACACAGCTACTATATAAGAACAGAACAGTGAACTACTCTGGTTCAAGTTGGGGGTGGGGTGGGCCCTGAGCCTTGTCCATGTGTCTACCTCTACTACCACCTTGTCTGAGGTCTTACCCACTCAGTCCTAAATTCCTGGGACTTTAATCATTCCCTCTCTGCCAAATGATGTAGCCTCAGAGTGGCCTGTCAGGAGTCTGTCTCCTGGTCATTGTGCTAAAGAGCCAGGTGACGAAAGTGATCAGTTTAAAAAGAGTTTTCTAGCATGCAGGGTCACTCCCAATTTTATTAAACATAAATTATGCCTAGTTCCACAAATGGCTTTTTTCCATTAATAATTAAAAAAAAAACCAGAAACCAAACTCTACTGCTTGAAGATGGGTACAAACTGGTTAAAAGAAATCAGGGTCTCATTATGTTGTCCAGGCTAGACTTGAACTCGTGGGCTCAAACTGTCCTCCCACTTCAGTCTCCTGAGTAGCTCGGACTACATGTGCACACCACCACACGCACCCAGCTCAAACAATTTTAAAGTAACAGTGGGGGGAGGGGGGAGGTGGCCCCACAAAATGGACAGAAACAGCTCTGAAGGAATTCTAGACCTCAGAAGGGTATAGTTAACAGAAATACCTTTGAAAGAAGCACATGTTACTCCTGAGTTTATGGTTGTCTTTACTCATTCTGGTTCCTTCTATTTACCTATCCTAAGCTATGGTTCTAGCCTAGTTTCCAGCATTGATTCAATCAGCACTGGTTCTAACCTTTTGAAGATTTGCTTGGAACAAGGAAGTCCATGCATCAACCACAGGCCCCATTCCAGAAATGGACCCCAGTATCTCATTGGCCTGTGGCTAAACAGGGTCACTGGGAGGTGAGGACAAAGTTTATAAACCAATAAGCCAGAGAGATGTTCTGGAACTGGGTCACAATGAGAATACTTGGACTACCTATGTGACCAACACCTGTTCAAAGTCATTCCCAACATTCTGACAAGATGCAACCACTTGGTGATCCTGGTTTTACATCTATTCGACTATGTGATCACAAGGGCAGAAAAGCCCTCATTAACTGAAGACCAGTGAGGCCTATAACCCAAGAAATAACCTAGGACTAATGAGAGCTCAAAAAAAAGCACCAGAAAGTCAAAAGAGTTGGAAAAACGTGGGCAGGGGAGGCCCTTCCTGGAAAAGTGGGCTGCTGGACAACACAGCCACACAGAGATAGAACAAAAAGACAGTCAGGAGGTCTACTCAAGACTGCAAAGGCAATACTTTTTCATTGAGAACTGGTGTAGGAGTAGGAAAATTGGCAATTGACTGATTGCCCCAGTAGCCCTGGAGAAATCAGGTAACTTCTGTTCAGAGTAGGTAGAGCTGCTGGTGCTGTTCTTCAGGGCAGTACAGTCTCTCTCTGCTGCACCTCACTCAGCCAGGGCCAAGTTTGTAGACTGCAGCCGCTCGGTCTCCTGGCAGATGTTCTGCTCCACTGTGTCACACTCAGCTAGGAATGCCTGAAAGATAGATGGGGGGGATGTGAGGGCCCATTCAGAGCTAGACACCACTGCCCATGCAAGGCCCTTTGCTGAGCCATTCTGGGGATGCTGTGGGTGAGACTCAAAACAGGCTATGCAGGGACAGGGACAGATATGGGTACCTGGCCTGGCCTCTAAGAGAAGGGAAGGGAAGGGGAAAGAAGCATATGAAGGAAGGACCAGGGTTTCTGACCAAGCTCTAGGCCAACAAACCCCAAAAAGGTTAAGATAGGAAGCCTTGCCTCAGGGCCACTGCACTGCAACCACACAACTGCAGAGGACACTGTGCACGTGACTGTTACCTCCTGGAACTGCATAATGTATCAGTCCTATCTGCTTTCCAGTGAGTTCTCCCTAAATAATTTACTTTTTTTTTAGTTGGAGTCTCACTCTGTCGCCCAGACTGGAGTGCAGTGGCTGCTCCCAGCCACCGCAGCCTCGACCTGCTGGGCTCTGGCAATCCTGACACCTCAGCCTTCCAAGTAGCTGGAACTACCGGCACGTGCTACCACGTCCGGCTAATTTTTGATTTATTGTAGAGATGAGGTCTCGCCAAGTTGCCGAGCCAGGTCTCGAACCCACAGGCTCAGGCAATCCACTTACCTCAGCCTCCCAAAGCGCTGGAATTATAGGCAGAGCCACCAAGCCCGGTGTTTTTGTTTTTTGGTTTTTTTTTTTGAGACAGGGCCTTACTCTGTCACCCAGGCTAGAGTGCAGTGACACAATCATGGCTCACCACAGTCTTGAACTCCCAGGCTCAAATGATCTTCCTGCTTCAGCCTCCCAAGCAGCTGGTACTACACATGTGTGCCGCCAATTTATATGTGTGTATATAAACATATATATATATACATTTTGTTGTTATTGTTTAGAAACGGGTTCTCATTTTGTTGCCCAGGCTGGTCTTGAACTCCTGGCATCAAATGATCCTCTCACCTCAGTCTCTCAAAGTACTGGGATTATACATGTGAGCCACCACCTCCCTAAATAGTTTAAATTCAAATATAACTACAGGGCTATGAAAAGGCTCTTCTATGATGCTTCTAGGTTCATGTTGATAAATAAACAATAGCAAAAAAATGCTCATACTACACTTCTATACAATCCTACTTTGAACAGATAAACACACACACCAACAATCTGTCATGCACTACCATAGAACTTACTTGAACCTTTTTCACCAAACTCTTCCTTTTCAATCTGCTGTCTTTGAAATTTTCTGGCAGGATCTAAGGAAGAGTAAGTTGACATATAAACAATACTCAGTGAAAACGACATGAAAGCACGTCAGAAATACCCACAGTACACCAAAGAGGTCACAGGTCAGTGGTGTGAATGGGATGTGCATTTTCAAGAACCCTTTCCCCAGGTCTGCATCCTACATGGCCCTTTCCCTGGCTCTGGATCCTTCATTCTCAGTGTCTGGGCCATAGAAACTGATACGTAACACAGACTTTGTTCTTTCGCTATTTCCTATGTATGGATACCATGTCCTGGCCAGACCCTGAGCTCACTGTGCCAGAAGAGCTTCCTGTTGCTTCTTTACAACCCCACTCAACAAAAGCACAAGCTTAGAGCAGTTCACCCTTAAGAACAAAGCACAAGCTACAGATATCATTACCATCATCTGTAAAAGAGAACCTGGGGTTAATGATTTTCAACAGCCTCAAGATCTGGGTCTGGCTGAATTCTGTATATTAGCTCAGCAAAATTATCAGTCACACGAGTATCAGGGAAAGAAAGAAGACGGTCAGGAGCTCTACTCAAGACCACAAAGACAATACTTTTTCACTGAGAACCAGGGAATGAGTAGTGCTTCTCTGACCATGAGATGATGGACCTAAGCTTCCTGATGATTACAGATACTGCTAGCATACATAAACATGGACGACAAAAGTGCTACGCTGGTGGGCTGAGTGCCTAGAAATCTGGAATTGCCTTATTCTGTGTACTCAGGATGACACAATGTCTGGCACATAGTAGATGTTTAACATCCTCAGGTGACGGGTTTGCTCAGATAATAGGACAGAGTGAAACTGAATGAAATACAATAAAAGAAAACTAGTTCTTCTTAGCTGAATATTTACTTACCAGTGCATCAATCTCTTCCAAGATCTTCATAAACTGCTCTATGGTGGCTTTTACTCTCCTATCAAGTTTGCAGAGAGCTTCAGCTTGCAAATCCTTGGCCAGAAAACCCTGTGGAAGAATAATGCATCATTGCAAGGGTTCCTTGCGATAGAAAACTCCATGCTACAGTGCTGATGAATTGACTATACCCTGAGTCCACTATAGCCCTGTCAGGCTAGGTCACATCTCAGATCCACAACTTTATCTCTTGGAAAAAGCAGAAAAGCTGGCCCTGGGCCAGTCCAAGAATTCTACCAGGCTATAGTCTACTCTGTTCCACATGGTTCACTGGGGCTGCAAATACCTCCCAAGGCTCGGCTCCAGTGAAGCTCCTAGTCACAAGTGTATACCTGAACACAAGAGGCACATGTTAAAAGCACAGCTTTTAGAGTCTTAAAGGCCTCAGCTTAAATCCTGACTGCCATTTACTAGCTCATAATCTCGCGCAAATTACTTAGTCTATTCATGTGAAATGGGTCCCCCCCCCACCCTTTTTTTTTTTTTTTAATTGGAGTCTCACTCGGTCGTCCAGACTGGAGTGCAGTGGCTGCTCCCAGCCACCGCAGCCTCGCCTGCTGGGCTCCAGCGATCCTTCCGCCTCAGCCTTCCGAGTAGCCGGAATTACAGGCACACGCTACCACGCCCGGCTGATTTTTTTTTTATTTATTGTAGAGATGAGGTCTCGCCAAGTTGCTCAGGCGGGTCTCGAACCCACGGGCTAAGGCAATCCACTCACCTCAGCCTCCCAAAGGCGCAGGATTACAGGCTGAGCCACCGAGCCCAGCTTGATAATTTTTTAATGACCTAAAAACATGTGCAATTTTTAAAAATTTTTAAATCATGTAGAAAAAAAAAAGTAGATTTACATATCACTGTTACGATAATACTAGCATTTATTTATTTAAAAATTTTTTTTGAGTTGGCATCTCACTCTGTTGCCCAGGTTGGAGTGCAGTGGCACACTCATGGCCACCACAAACTTGATCTGCTGGGCTCAGGTGATCCTTCCACCTCAGCCTTCCAAGTAGCTGGAACTAAAAGCACGCGCCACCACGTCTGGCTAATTTTTTGATTTATTGTAGAGATGAGGTCTCACCAAGTTGCCCAGGCTGGTCTCAAACCCGTAGGCTCAGGCAATCCTCTTACCTTGGCTTCCCAAAGTGCTGGGATTATAGGTGTGAGCCACCGTTCCCAGCCAATACTAGTTTTTATAACTGCTCACAAATTTATCTTTACTGAGATCTTTATTTATTCATATGACCTCAAGTTATTGCCTAGTTTCTTTTATTTCACCCTGCTAAACTCTTGCAGGGCAAATCTAGTGGTAATAAACATTCTAAGCTTTTGTTTACCTGTGAATATCTTAACTTCTCCCTTAAATGTTCAATTTTTTAATCAAATAAAAGAACAATTTGGCCAGGTGCAGTGTTCACACCTAAAATCCCAGTACTTTGGGAGGCCAAGGCAGGAGGTTCACTTGAGGTCAGGAGACCAAGACCAACCTGGGTAACACAGTGAGACCTTGTCTCTACAAAAAATGTAAAAATTAGAATGGTGTGGTGGTGTTTGCCTGTAGTTCCAGGTACTTGGGAGGCTGAGCTTGAAGGATTATCTGAGCCCAGGCTGAGATGGGTCACACTACAGCCCAGGAGATAAGTGAGACTCCGACTCAAAAAAAAAAAAAAAAAAAAGACAACGTGGGAGGATTCTTCCAGCTCTGAGGTTCTGAGGCTGGATGATTAGTTTGTGGGCTCACACATCCCCATTTATTCCCCCTCAGTAGAACTTATCATTTCCCAGGAAAGTGGGCAACTGAGAAGGGATTAGGCTGAGGCAGGAGGCTTGCTTGAGCCCAGGAGTTTTAGATTGCAGTGAGCTGTGATCACACCACTGCACTCTAGCCTGGGAGACAGAAAGAGACCTGTCTCAAAAAAAAAAACACACAAAAAAAACAATTTTCAAAGTGTACATAATTTATATCAAAAATTTTTTTTTTTTTTGAGTTGGAGTCTCGCTCTGTCGCCCAGACTGGAGTGCAGTGGCCGCTCCTGGCCACCGCAGCCTCGACCTGCTGGGCTCCAGCGATCCTTCTGCCTCAGCCTTCCAAGTAGCCGGAATTACAGGCTGATTTTTTTTTTAATTTATTGTAGAGATGAGGTCTCACTGCCCAGGTGGGTCTTGAACCCGCGGGCTCAGGCAATCCACTCACCTCAGCCTCCCAAAGGCGCGGGATTACAGGCTGAGCCACCGAGCCCGGCTTCAAAATATTTTTAAGATGAAAAATATATATTTAAGGATTTAATAATGGTTATTTCTGGGGTAAGGCCTTACAGGTAAGTTTTAATTTTCCATATCAGTGCCTATATGTGTACTTAAAACTTTTGTACAACCACTATATATGACTTTTACAATTCTAATATAAACACACACCCATTAATGTTATAAAATGAAGGAGGAATAGAAGTAGGTAGTCTTGGGCTGTTCCTAATCCTTACTGGTTTTCAGTGCACTGTCTCTAATATAAGGAATTGAATAGGATGGCCCCACCCCTCTAAGATCACACTCAACTTGGATCTTTTATGAATCAACACAATGTTCTTTGCCTTGCCAAACACACTACAGCAGCCTGGACTGGGACATGCAACCTGTTGTAGCTCAGATAACACATGATCCTAGCATGGCAGATGCTCTCCTGTGAGCACAAATGGATGCTGGCTGGGGTTTGACAATAACACTTATAAAGTACTTAGCATGTGTCAGGCTCAACCTACATTATTTAATCCCCGCTACAACCCTAAGAGGGAAATATCACTTTTATTTCTTTTTTACAAATGAGATAAAGAAACTTACTCACAGTAGGAAAAAGGGTGGAGGCGGATCTGAACCCAATGCAGAATCTAATCTTATGACCACATTATCATAGCCACAAAGTTCCTATAGAAGAGCATTACCTGTTGGATTCCGGTAACCTCTTTATTCAGCTCTTCTAGTTGGTTAGCTATCTTCTCCACAGACTTTTCCAAATCTTTCAACTTCTTTAGTTCAACTTCTTCCTCTGGACTCTTCTAAAATGTTTAAGAATAAAATAGTCAATAACAGGATGGGCATGGTGGCTCACGCCTATAATCCTAGCACTTTGGGAGGCTGAAGTAAAAGGACTGCCTGAGCCCACGGGTTCGAGACCAGCCTGGACAACTTGCTGAGACCTCATCGTTACAGTAAATCCAAAAATTAGGGCTGAGAAACTGAAACTACTGGGAAGGACCCCCTGAGCATCTTCACCTCATCTGGACTGACAGCTGTTCCTATCTCCACACCATGAACCACACTTCCCAGACCTTCACTCGGACCAGCGCTGGCGCCACCTCAAACTATGAGATGCTCAAGGAGGAGCACGAAGGGGCTGTGCTGGGGACATCCCACAGCTCTGCTCTCACGACGTCCACCGTGATCCACATCCACAGCGACACCTCTGTGCCCGACCACGTCGTCTGGTCCCTGTTCAACACGCTCTTCCTGAACGTCTGCTGTCTGGGCTTCATTGCCTTCGCCTACTCCATGAAGCCCCAAACCAGAAATTACAGGACAGACCACGGCATCCCAGGCCCTCTCAGAAAGTGCAAAGGAACCCAGGGGACATCCCCAGGGTGGGGCAAGGGACAGGAAGATGGTGGGCGACATAACCAGGGCCCAGGCCTACGCCTCTGCCACCAAGTGCCTGAACATCTGGGCCCTGATCCTCAGTATCCTTGGGACCACTGGTGTCATCTTTGTTCCAGTTGTGATCTTTGTAGTGTACCAGTAGACTGTGAGGCAACATGGAGTTCATCATCTGCCATGGCGAGGCCCCATGTGTCTGACCTTCCATTCTCTTCCCCCTGCCTCGGCCCCTTTATACAGCAGTTTGTACTCACACACTTTTCTACAGTGGCAGTCAATAAAGTGCATGTGTCACCAAAAAAAAAAAATCCAAAAATTAGCTGGGTGTGGTGGCACATGCCTATAGTTTCAGCTACTTGGAAGGCTGAGGTGGAGGGATCACCTGAGCTCAGCAGGTCGAGGCTGCAGTGGCCATGAGCATGCTATTGCACTCCAGCCTGGGCAACAGAGTGGAACTCTTAACTCAAAATAAAAGTCAATAACCACCAAGGGGACAATCACTTTGTGATTCTCCTCATGTGCATATTTAATAAATTTATATGCCTTTACTACTATTAAAAAAAAACAACACCAGGAACAGTAGCCTCAGGAAAGCAAGTCAAAGGGTTATACATTAAGGTTTTTCATCCTCAAAGACTCCAGACTAGAGAGAAGGTGAACATTCTAGTGAAGGCACTGACAGCTTGAGTTCAGCAAATGGAGCCAATCCAAGTGCCAGATTCTGCCTCAGTCCTGGACTGATCAAAGCCAAGACGGAAGCCTCGAGGGGAAACAAACATCAGTGAACACCTGTAGGAGCCCAAAATGGTGAGACAGATGGAATTCTACTATTCTTTCTTTACATGGAATTCCTAAATATCAGCCTCCAACTGAGCTCTCCTACATAATATGATAATGATGATGACAATGAATACGTCCTTGAATATTCTCTACATGACAGGTACTATCCTAAGTGTGTTACTTGTATTATTTTTTTAGCCTTACCACAACCTTACAAGGGAGATATGGGTTTTTTTTTTTTTTGAATTGGAGTCTCACTCTGTCACCCAGACTGGAGTGCAATGGCCGCTCCCGGCCACCGCAGCCTTGACCTGCTGGGGGCTCTGGCAATCCTTCCGCCTCAGCCTTCTGAGTAACTGGAACTACAGGCGCGTGCTACCACGCCCGGCTGGAGATATAGTTTTACAGATGATGAAATGGAGGCTTTATGTAGTAAAGTAACCTGAGGTAACACAGTCCAAAAGAGGTGGCACAGACTTGAGTTCAGACATTTTTTTAGACAGGTTCTTGCTCAGTCACCCAGGCTAGAGAGCAGTGGAGCCATCATAGCCCACTGTAAACTCCTGAGCTCAAGCCCAGCCTCCTGAATAAAGGGACTAAAGGCTGGGACTAAAGGCCAGTGCCATAGTGCCTCACCTGAGTTCAGACTTTGCTCTACGCACTCTGGGTCAGCTCCAACTAAAGGTCCTATAGCTTCTTCAAGCTTGACCTTTAGTTCTGCCTGTTGCCCATCACCATTCTCCCTGGCCCTTAAGCAAGAAATTTAGGATATTTTTCCATTCTCTCACTGAACAACTGGTAGCCAGTCCAGCTGCTTCCTTTGTTACACTATACCAAATTATTCATTCTTCTTTGTGGCTAAATCTTGAGTTCCAAGTCCCCTGGCAGTTTCAAGTCTGGATTAGATTTTCTTTGCCTCCACTTTCCTAATTTCTGCCTCTCTCTACATAGCTGCCTCACTTAAAGTGAGGGAACATCACATGCTCAACAATTCCAGTGTGTCACAATGCAGGGCTGGCCACAGCTCTCTCCCATCACATCAGAGGCTGCTGACCTCATTCTCCCTCTCCTGCTCTCAATCTGACCTTTCTCTCCAGTCAAGGAGGGTTGTCCTCTTATGGGAGATTTGAGTTAAAAGGATGGTTAAAGAGAAAGAGGCTCCTGAAACTGGCACAGTGTGCTTATTTTTAATATCTACAGGTTTATTTGAAAAAAAAGATTGATTGCAAATTCTGCCCCAAGTGAATAAGGCCTGTCCCAGGCAACATTTTAACTAGACTAAGTTTCCATCAAGACAAAAAACCATGTTGTTGAGGCAGCATAACTGCTCCTAATTACCAGAGCAAAAGCTCTAAGCAATAGGAGCAAGAAGGCATGAGAACCAAACCGGTAATCCCAGCAAACACACAGACTGTATTTGTTTAGGGAAGTGTTTCAGCAATGCAGAATCTGTGTCCTCAATTTGGCCCTAAACAGAAACATGTATAAAAGACTTCAGTCATTTGATTCTGAGGATTTCTTTCTTTCTTTCTTTCTTTTCAATTTTAGAGTTGTGGGATACAAGTGGGGATTTATTACATAAGTAGATTGCATGCAGGCAAAGCTTGGGCTCCTAGCTGGCCCTCTCTACTACTGATAGTGAACCAGGTATCTAGTGTGTTCACAAATGCCCCCCTCCCTGCTTTCTCCCTCTCCCCCTCCCTCCCCTAGCAGTGTCCAGCATCTGCTGATGATTCTGAGAATTTCTGGCAGAAAAAGCAATTTACCTTTTTCCCAATTAACATGACCCGGCAACCATTTTGTATTCCAAGTGCTGACAATGGTGTCTCCATTTCCTTCAGAGATTTTCCTAAAAAGAGAAGAAAAGTATATCAATTTGTAATAATTTTACAACATTGATAATAGATTTCAGCAAGAGTACAGAAAGTAGACAGGTAAGTTCACAAATGAGAAAAGGATAAATTGGCAGAAGTTTTATAGAGGTAGAGCTTTACCCTGACCCAGTAATTTCACTTCCAGATATGTATCCTAAACAAATAACTGGACATGTGCCTGTACAATAACTATTATATAACAATATTCAGTGCAATCTTATTCACAATAGTGAGAGAGTAAAAAGAGCCAAATATTTAGGAATAGGGGATTGATTAACTATACATCCATATAATAGAAGACTCTGAAGGCATTAAAGCTCATTTTTTCTGGAAACTTCAATGCCACAATGAACATTGATGACCCAGTGTTATTATGAAGGATTTTTATTCAGGGAAACATTTTCTACCTTGTGTTTTCCTCTATTTTGAAGCATGAATTTCTACTCCCTTTAAGTTCAGAAATAAAATGTTTTTAAAAAGAAAATACAAGAAGTTGCACTATGAAATATAAATAAAAATGTTTTCTATTACTTAATTCCTTATAACGACTAACACCCAATAGAATAAATCTGCCCCCATCACATACCAAAATAATGGGTTCCCATGGGAGTGGGAAGACAGAGGACAAGGGGTGGGGAGGAAGGATGTAGAATCTGGCAGAAATTAGCATCATCCAGCAGGCCTGCCACATCCAGGCCCCTGGTTAATTTATTTAAAACCTTCCTTCTTTGAGTTAGTACAATGCTGCCAAGCACTGGATACAGAGCAGTACCACTGACCTCTTGAAGTTTGTTATTCTAACAAAGAAGTCAGATGTTAAGCAACTAAGAAAATAGTATGGTACCCCTACTATTTTTGTAAAACTTTCAATGCAAATGATACAGAAATAGTAGGGATACCATATGGACATATAACGGGGGAAGGATCTAACCTAGGTAAAGAAGCTTGCCCATGTGCTTCACTGAAAATGGTGAGATTTCTGCCATCATTATATGACTTCAAATCTGATAGGCATCCAGATGTTTGAAAGTATCTGTACATAGCAGGGTCTCAATAAATATTTGTTGAAGAAATGAATGGATAAAAAAATAAAAATTGTCCCAGTTTAAAGACTGAAAGAGTTACTATTAGGAAAGGTTAAGCAGTTTTAAATCTGTCCTTTAGCCATAAGAGCCCAAAGCTGGAAGAGAAATGCCTACCCTTAAATATGAGTTTCTGAAAAGACAGTGGAACCCCAGTGGCCTCTTCCACAGCCTGGGCCAGATCTTGGACAACTGGTTCGCTGTTGCCCTGCTGGGTAGTAACATGAAGGTCATGCTTCTCATTGCCTGGGGAGAAATAAAAGCATCCATTGAAGATAACTCTTTCACATAAACCAATATAGGCTGACAATTTACGGTAATGATTTATGCAGCCTTCAAGGCCCAGCTCATATGCCACCTACTCCAAAGAGCCTGACCCTCTCCACCCAGCTTTCCTCTGGTGACCTCCTCAAGGATTTTTGTTTCCTCTGTCGTAATAACCTAACAATAGGAATGATATCAACTGACATTTTAAACACTTAGCACATATGGTAGAATCTATGCAGTATCATGCAGTTTGTTATTCTAACAGAGAAATCCGATTAGGTAATTAAGAAAACAATGATTTAATAGTAAGTTGAATACAAGCTATACAGAAATAGCAGAGGTTGTACTAGACTCAAGTCATGCATTGTCTTATTTAATCCTCAAAACAACCCCATGAAGTAAGTTCTACCTATTATTCCCTATTTCACAGATGAGCAAACTGTAAGTTCAGTGCAGTGAAGACCTGACTACGGAGACACAACTGGTTGGAGTCAGAACTTGAGCTCAGAACCTGCTGATTCCAAAGCCCATGCTTTTCATCACAAGTCATCTGTCTGTGGCCTGACTGACTGTCCTGTACCCTCTATTGTACAGGTCTCATCTTCCTTGCTGTAATAGGCAAGAGACTGCTGTTTTCCTCCAAGTCTCTCCCACTGGGAACACTTGAGTACACCCGTGTTTGGTGCTCAGTAAATACATAAATGAATGAACACAGTTAAACAGCAGAGTATTTCTTTTTGAAGCAGATGCCAGTTTGTTTCCAGGGATGTGGACAATAAGGAGATGGTAGCCTGCGTCCAGTGCATTACAACAAGCTCTGAGTTCCCCCAACAGTCTTGTGAGATCAGCGGGAGTAGAAGTTACCGAATCTACTTCAGAGAAAAAACCAGATGCCTGGAAAGGAGACATCCATCCCAAGGTCACTCAAAACTGCAGGATCTATTATCCTGGTCTCAGATTCCGAGGCCCTCGGGTCTCACCTAGCTGATTCTAAGAAAACTTCCTGGACTCAGCGCTCCAGTGTATTGACTTCGGTGGTGTGTCAACTCCAACCAAATAGTGCCCAGAGTGTAATGCCTGGACTCACAACCCACTCAAAGAGCGAACAGGCGGCGTCCGACATGGAGGAGGAACTCAATTAAATAAGGACCACTCCGCCAAGCGCTAAGTTCAAACTCATCACACAACACGTAGCAACTGTACACATGGCCAAATACAAGCCCGACACTGAGACGCATAATAACTGCGCCGGCACACAACCAGAACAAACGAGGCCCACGGGTAAAGCACGGACGGACAGGCGCACCCAGGACCAAACAAATAGCCAGAGACAAAATACACCGACTACATGAAAAGGTGTGCAGACACAAGCCCGGGGAAAAAGCCAGTCCCCACGGACACGGCCAAGAGCTCACACTTCCGGATGCCATGACAAACACAAGGACACACGCTTCTGGAGGACACGTGACAAAACCCACAGACCCCGCTGGACCTTCGGAGCCCGGCACGGAGCCCCCCGGTACGCCCAGCACTCACTGTGGGTGACGGTCACGCTGAGCCCGGCTGCCGCCATTTCCTCCCTGGTCGTCACCTCCTCGCTCCGGGTCACCTCCTCGCTCCGGGTCGCCTCTTCGCTCCGTATTGCCTCCTCGCTCCGGGCCGCCTCCTCGCTCCGGGCCGAGCGGGGCCGAACTTTCTTCTTC